TCCCGTCGCCTCCCGGCCCTCCGCCGCCGCCATGAGGCGACCGGGCTCGCCGCGTGCGGCGTCGGTTCTATGCGCCGGGGCGGTATCCGGATTTATTCGGATGCGGGCTCGGACGGTTTCGTTTGAAACACACCCGACGGCTTGCACTCCTCTGTCGGGTGGTCCGAGTACAGGAGCCTGCGTACGACCTCGAGCGAGCTAACCCTCGGCGAGTGGGGTCCACCACGGGATGGATCTCTCCGTGCGCAGCTCACTCCCAACGACCCAGTGCTGGTGCCAACTCCCACGCATTCAGGCGTAGCACTACGTATGCGAAGTCTTTGAGTTAGTTTTTGCTAATTTGGTTTCAACGCGAACACGTTTGATTGATTGATTGATTGATGTGACAAGGACCGTCGAGCGCCACTCTCTGCGTTGCGCAACGGGCGATAAAATGCAGCTCATGCCTTGGTCCGCTGTCATTGATGCGTCCACAAACTATAGTCTTTACGTCCTTGAGCCATAACTCAATGAATGATGGTCATCACGAGGTTGTCACAATTCCGCGGCAGCCAACAGCAACTCAACACTCGTGCGAGCGCTGAATGTTGGCAGTGGTGCATGCTTGGTAGCGAACCTTGTCATGAACCTTTGTTGGTCGGCTGAGGGGCGTTGGTCGGTACACACTTAATCTCGTGAAACTTTACGGCGAAGCACTGTAGCCACTGTACTAGTAGAAGCGGTAGCGACAGATCTTTGGCAGTTTGTAGTAGTACACTGCTACCATCGCAAGGGTCCTGTCGGCACTGAAAGCGGCAAACTTTGCCAGAGTCAGAACTTGCAGAGTGAGTTCTGCCAAGCTTAGGGTAACAAGCTTTTCGTGCTTTCGTCGTAACTTGTGGAGCGGCAAGAAATGCAGTAGTTGAGCTTTGCCCATGTCACCCATCGCAACGAAAGCCTGTGTGCACATCGATGCAAGTAAGAATATATTGTTGACGTCGGTCGCTACCAAGCAGGGCCCGTTTACATGAGCATCGCCGATAGCGCGCAAGCACCAAGAGCCCACGCAATGTACGTGTGGTGGGCTGCACCGTTTTTATTCGGCGGCGCCGTCGTCGTATTCGTCTCCATACTCATGTTGACCTCCATCGTCATGACGTCGTCCGAGATGAAAAGGTCAAAGTTGTTTTCGCTCGTGTCGACGGGCAATTCGAGCAACCCAATGTCATCGCCCAGCTCCGAGTCGTCTGACTCGTCGACCGTGATGGTGGCACCACTGCCCGTCGAATTGGTGGCTATAGAACGTCAGCACGTTTGCTGCGTCAACGCCCATGTACAAGTACCTGGTTTCGTCTTCGGGCAGTCGACGGGCGTGACAGCTGCGTTGACGCAGGTTGCGGCCGTTAATAAGCATTCGTTCTTGAACTTGATCGTGGCACCCTTGAGCGTAGCACACACCTTCACCTTTTCCTTGTTTTTCGAACACTTGCCGAGGCCGCACTTGCCCATGGTCGCGGGGCACTTGCCTGGCGAGAGGAATTCAATGCTTGGGTTAAGGCACCGTGCGGCCTTGAGGTAGCACAGATGGTCATACGTCACGCCGTTGGACCCGCAGACAGGTGCGACTTGGTTGGGTTTGCACCTGGCGAGCTTGGACAAGCACGTCGGGTCGCATGCTTTGGCCGCGCTTGCAAAGCAATGCACCTTGCGGTTCTTGCACTTGGCAGCGAGGCACTCGCACTGGTTGCTGTACGAAACGTCGTATGCAGTTGTCGAGTTGGAGAGGGCGCAGTAGACCGCTTGCTTGGAAGAGGTGCAATTGGCCGCACATGTGCCTCCTTGAAGACCCAAGCTAGAGACTACGGCTGGCAGCGTCAGCAGCGTGAGAAGAAGACGCTGCATTGTACGGCAAAAGTGTAAATGATTGTGATGAGGACCAAGTTTCCGTTTTGCATTTTTGGAAGTCGAGAACCTTTAGCGACAATTTTCCGAGAATGAAATCCGTCGAAGATATACGCCTTTTCCCATATTTCCGTTGCACATTTGAACCAATAGCAACGCAGGGCGTTGCCCTTGCCAACGACGCCAACGTAAGCCTCCAACCGCTTTTTCGACCCCCGAGTGTCCGTAAATAACCTCGAGCGGCTGCGCTGCTTTGCTCACAGACCTTGAAAGGACTGCAGCGTCGTGGGACCCACTCGGATTCTTCACATGACAATCTACGTGTGGGCAAGAAAAGCCCCGTACTAACGGTGCCGTGCAGTCGCGGCCCGGTGAGCGAGTGAAGAAGCAAATGGCCCAGCCATGCCTTTGACGTTGCAACAGGAAGGGCCGCCTTTTCCAATACGTTTTCCGCGCAAGGCCGAGCGATCTAGAAGACGAAATCTAGAAGGACTCTAGATCCAAGATCCAGGCGCAGAGCACGCAGCGTCGATCCATTCCCACATTTCTAGTGTCAGTCAACAAGCAGACCCGCCTCGCCCACCACGGTTGGTGCCTCAAGTAGTTGAATCTTGATTGAGGAAACGAAGGGTAGTTCCTGCAAGCTCTGTTGAACATGAGTGGAGACCGGCAGAAAATTGAAAATGCGCGAGGCCCGAAGCGGAAACATGAGCGGAATTACTCGAATTACCCTTCCCCGGGAGAACCTATGGTGGGTCCAGAGGTCCAGAGTGCCGGGTCGGTTTAACTTGGACGATGAGTGAAAACCTGCAGTCGATTGTAACTTTCCGTTACATCGCGTCCGCTCATTTTTTGCCGGTCTGCACCTCGTTCATTTTTCAGCCCCGCTCATTTGATGTTGTTTTATCTTTAACTTGATCCTGAATCAGCTATCGGCCACGCACACGTCCGTTTCGAGCGTGGAGTTGCGCAACCCTCTCATTTTAGATTCGACTTTTGGTCAGCAGCCAGCCCCACCTCGGTGATAACTACATACAGGCAATGGCCTTTAAATTTCTCAAACTCGCCAGCAATACTAACGTTATTGACTGAAGAGGACGTCATGAGCCCAGATATGACAACATGCGCGACTTCATGAATGAATCTATAGAAGGCGTTGCTGCTGCTGCTTCATGCACTCGACCAAGAAGGCGAGCTTGGCGTCCATCTCTTGCATCCTGGCATCGACGCTCTGGCTTGCAGGCACGGTGGCGCGATCGAGGGCCGCAGCGATCCGGTTGACGCCGTGCCCGGGCTCGTCGACGTCCACGGACGCCGCGTAGTGCTTGAGTTTGGCGATGAGCCGTTCGGCGCGGCGCTCGCTGATGTTGATCCCGACGGCCACGTCCTTGGTCGTCCAGAAAATGTGGGACTCGATCTCCATGCGGTTGGTGAGCTTCTTGAAGAGGTCTGGACGCCGCAAAATGTAAATCTTGATCACGTCCCGCATGACAAGAAAAAACTCGTCCACAAACGAGCGCTTCCTATACGAAAATAAGAAATGCAGCGCAGAAATGGATCGCATGCGATGTCGTACCCAAGGTTGACGTCGACAATCTCTTGGTGGGACGTGATGACAACGGCCAGCATAATGTTGACCAGCACAAGTGTCACAATCGACTGACTGACCCAGAACCAAACGACCGCGAGGTCGTTGACGTCCTTGATGAGGTCGTAGCTGTAGCCGCCAAAGAGCATGTTGATGCACGTCACCATCGACTTGTCGAGGCGGCTAAACTCTTCGAGCTGCGGCCCAAAGAGGAGGCACCCAGACGTCGCGAGGGCCACGACAACCAAAAGGAAGATGAAGAGGAACGACCCGAGCCGCTTCACACTCGACACAATCGTATTGGTCAAGACGTTCATCGTTGGGTGAAACTGGAACGCCGCAAGCACACTATACAAAAGGCACGATAAGACAATATCTCCACCCATCGAAACACTGTACTGGATCACGAGCTGGAGGCACGCAATGATCGACACAATGTACACAAAGTCAATCGCACCGCCAAACGTGTCGATGATGTCCGACACAATCGGCTGCGTGCTGTTGCCCATGTAGTCGCGCTGGTTGTATTGGCCCGGTGCTGTGGTGGCGTTGGCCGTCTCGGGGAGCTTGTACAAGTCAGTGTAAAAGTCGTCGAGTGCTTGGACTTGGCCGTCGAGGTTCGAGTTGAAGAACTTGTTGCAGACTTGGATCCACGCTGCGTAGTACAGCACGACGACGATGATCGAGCACCACTCGATAAAGGTCGTGCCAACGTCGCAGGACCACGAGTCCTTGCCGCGGAACTGACGTACGAGCATCCAGAGCCGGCGGCCGAGCACTTGCAGGACAAGAAGCCCAACGATCGCGTCCATGACAATGTTGATGTGCGACGTCGAGTACGGGTTGGTCGGAATGCTCTGCACCTTGTAGGTGGGGCTGCAGGCGCCGCCTTCTTCGACTTCAACTTTGAAGAGCTGGTACGTAAAGAGGTCGAGCTGGCCGTTGTACGTCGTGATCTTGACGAGAAGCTCCTTCGTGGTCGGCGAGAGGTAGTAGCCACCTTTGGTGCCTTCGACCTGCCAGCGCTTGAAGCGGTCGTACGGCTTTGTGTTGCCGATCGGAATGTACATGGTGTACCACGGAAAGCGGCGCAGGTTGCGCTCCCGAAGGCTGCTGACCGGTGCATCGATTGGCGAGTCAATCTCAAAGTCAACGCACGGCCCGTAGTGGTTTTTGAGGCCACTCGAGCTCTGGCACTCGGTCTTGGGCATGTTGAGGACCGAAATGTCGACCGCACCAACGAGCTGGTTGTATGAGCTAATGCGGCCCGCAACAATCGTATCTAGAGCAGTTTTGAGTCAACACCGGATTGTGATGCGAGTACAACGATTTCTGTACCGTTGATGGTCACGTTCTGAAAGACGGACGGTAGCACCGAGTTGTTGATCCACTTGGGAATGTCGTCGAGGGCCCGGATCTTCATAAAGCTCACGACGGTCTTGGACGGGACAACATCCTACATCGCAGAAATGGGATGAGCGTTTCATGCTGTAGACTGAACGTTTCATAAAATGGATGGCTACCTCTGCTTTCGGGTTGAGCTCCGTCGCTACGCCGTGGTCGGCCATGTACACTTGGTGGATCGGCGTGTGCGTCAGCACCATCGCGATGAACGCAAAGAAGAGGAGGAGCGGTCCCGGCAGCGTCATGAAATGCCGACGGAGCTGCTTCCGGGCCTTGAGCGCGACATGGATTGTTTCCGTTGGGATCGACGCCGTCGGCGGCGGCGCCATCTCGAGCGCGTAGGCTTCCGTTCGTGGGCTTGCGACGTCAAAGTACTCGGCCTTCATGCAGCTGACAGCAAATGCAATAATGTAATCGACTTGCAACTCCCAGATCGAGCGGCAACTAGTTACGACCGGGCACAATTATTACTGCAAATCCGTCGACACCTGCTTTTTCAGTACATAGTGGAGGCTCCGTTCAATGTTTAACAGCCTGGTATTGACGGCCAAGTGTGCCGGGGGTTGTGGGCGGTATCTTTAAAGTGGTACGGTATTGTTCCATGGAGCCGGGACCTTATCGAACCAAACACCTTGGTCATGGAGGCTCCATACCCGCAGCGATCGTTGCGAGCATGCATGCAAGCTTGGGCTGCCTCCACTACTCGAACGAGCTCCACCTTGAAAAGCTGGAAACGACAGCGTGTACAGTTTCATGACGTTGTATGCTCCTGCATCAGTGTTACGTTCGAGTTGTTCGACTACATGTGGCCCGAATAAACCCTTCCATATCGGGTGCAAAGCTACTCTTTTTGTGCTTATCGAGGACCTCGTTGAATCAACTTTAGCACAAATCAGAGAATGGTCATTGAAAGCACAACTTCAATGGTTCGGGTCAGCCCCAACGATTGAAGTTTGGCTACGATCGCGCGCAGTCGTACCGTCAAACTTTCAAAAACCAACGGCTGCCTCCGTGCTGCTACAATGCACGCATGCGTGTCTATGGTGGGAAAAGCACCATGCCGTTTCCATTCCTTGCAGCCGCGAATAACAGTCGACGAGGCAGACGTCATTGCATGTGACGTTGCGATTCCCTGCATTCGTTCTTGGGGTGCTTGGTAGCATTTTCCAATTGCAGCATCCAAGCTCTGCGAGAGATTCCAATAGGTAAGCATGAAAGCCCCTGCGGCTCACTGTACGTTACTGTGCGCATATACGTACGTATCTTGTTGTTGAAGTGGATCGTCTATTACAATCGATAAAACTATGCTACATAAAATTGTCGGACTTTCTTCGTTGTGTGTACTCGGTTGAGCGACTTGATTTAGGCAGGCGGAGGCAGGAGTGCGATCCGCGGGACGAGGTCATGTACGTATCTTGTTTCGGCGTCCCATGCCCGCGATATGCGGCAACAATGGGGCTGACCATCCCTTTTCCGGACAACATTATCCGGATGTCACACATGTTGCTCACTTTGTTTCGATGACCAGCGCGGCCGAGATCGAAGCGCTGCAGGTGCTCCTCGCCAAGGAGCTCTACCTCGAGCACGTACGACGGCGCCTGCTACTGCGGCTCCAAAGCCCATGCTCATCTGTGGCTTAGGCGAGTCCGCTCTATGTCGCGTGCACAGAAGGTGACATGGAGAAGGTCACGTCGCTCCTGGTCGACACCGCCACGGACGTCAACTGGCGCACGCCCGACGAGGGCTGGACGCCGCTGCACATGGCGTCGGCCATGGGCTACGACGACATTGTCGGGTTGCTTCTGCGCCACGGCGTCGCCGCCGACGCACTGGGCCACGTACGACGTCCTGTCCCTTTCGCCGTCCTGTCGATGGCTTTTTCTGTAGGACGATGTGACGCCGCTCATGGCTGCGTCGATCCAAGGCCAGCTCTCGACGCTGCAGCTGCTCGTCGACGAAGGCCATGCCAACGTCAACGCCGTGACGACGGTGCATCACTCGGTCGCTGTCGCCGCGCGTCCTATGTGCGATGTAGGATGGCACGTCGGCGCTGCACGGCGCTGTGCACAACCACCACTTGGGCTGCGTCGAGGCGCTGCTGCGCTTTGGCGCCGACGTCAACGCGATCGATGCGCAGGGTATTTCTGCCCTGGAGATCGCGTCGTCGGCCGGCGACCTCGAGATGATCGAGGTCTTTGCCACCAAGGCGAGCGCGCCGCTTACGTTGCAAATGACTGCTGCCGTGCGTTCTCGTCCTGTCTTTCATATGATGTGTACAAGTTGTCTATCTAGGACGGGACGACAGCGCTGCATGCAGCGGCGCTCCATGGGCACATTGACGTTGTCCAATGGCTCATCTCGCACGGCTGCCCCAGTGACGCACCCAACGAAGTACACTGTCGTCGTCCTCATACACATGTATCAGTTCTTATCGATCGCTGGCTAGATGGGCCTCACACCGCTGTACCTTGCCGCGCAAGAAGGGTTTGATGCGATCGTCCAGCTGCTTTTGAACGAAAAGCCAACGCCAACGCCGTCTCGAGTGTCGTGCGTCCCAAAATCTTGCACTTAGTGTGGACAACATGTCCTTTTTATTGAGTAGGACGGGTTCACACCGATCATGATTGCAGCGCAGATGGGCCATGTCGGCGTCGTCGAGCTCCTCCACGCGCGCGGCGCGAGCCTTACGTACCGTACACCGGTAATACAATATTGTCTTTCACTCTGTAGACCAACGTGGCATGATGCGTGCGATAGGATGGCTGGGATGCCTTGTACGTTGCCGTGCAAAACGGCCATGCGTCGGTCCTCGCCTTCTTGGTCACCCACGGCGCCAATGTCCACGCCACCTACAATGTACAACTTGTCATCGTTTCTTTGGACGACCAACCACGTAGAATGGCATTACGCTGCTGTACACGGCCGCGCAAGAAGGCCACGTCGAGTGCGCCTCGTACCTCTTGGACCACGCCAAGGTGCCGGTCGATGCGCCGCAAACGGTGGGTCCCATGGCTTTTCTCGTCGACAAAAGTGTGGACAACTTGTCTCAAATGTCATGTCGAGTAGATGGGCTGGACACCGCTGCACATTGCCGTGCTCCATCACAAGATGGCGATTGCGCAGACACTTCTTTCGCACGGTGCAAATGTCAACGCTGTCGAAAACGAGGTAGTCGCCTCTGCCTTGTGGACGATCCGCGTGACCCATAGCCCTTTCCTGGCTAGATGGGCGGCACACCGCTGCATGTCGCAGCCGAAATGGGCAACCTCGAGATGGTCCAGTTCCTTCTCTCGCATGGTGCGAGCACGGCGGCGACGCTCAAGGTATTCGATGAACCCACGCCAAGCAACAACTACAATGTACTATATCACTAGGATGGATCGACGCCACTCGACACGGCCAAGAACACGGGCAACGAAGCGGCCCTTGGCCCTTTGCTGGCGTAAGTTGTACATCGTCTTAACAACGTTGTGGAAGCTATGTCTATTGAAAATGCCGGCGCACGTCGTGGCAATGCGCATCAAAGTGACGCAATGGCGTTCCGAGTTGGTTCCTACACCGCAGAGATGGACAGTCTTGACATAGACCGGCAGTCGCGATGTGTACGTGAGGTCCTTGGCCCGCTCGGCGCTCGGCGGGTGCGTCGAAAAGTACTTGAGCGACTTTGGCGAGTCCATTTTGGCCCAGTCGGCAAACATCTATCAACTTGTCAACCTGTGGGATGCGGCGAGGGTGCGAGGGTACCGCGGGGCTCGCGCGCGGATCGTAGCAGGCCTTGGCCATGAGCTGGAGCCCGATCGCGTCGGCTTCCGACTCGTGGGCGCGCGACTTGGGCAGGTTCACACCCAGGGCAAACGCCTTGTCACATCAAGTTGCCACAAGTCGACGCGAGTCAACGTACCGAAGACGCGAGTGTACTCGCCTCCGGAGACAAGAAGAGCAGAAAGAGAGAAAATAGGTTGCCCACCGAGAGCTGCTCGGCACTGTGGCCTGATACGACAATGGCGAAGAATGTAGGCATGGAACAGAGGACGTAGCACGACTTACGCGCAAGAGCGTGGGCGACTTCATGGCTCAGCACGGCCGCGAGGCTGTCTTGGTTGCGTAGTAGCTAGCGTCAAAATGAGCGATTGCTTGCGTCCAAGACGACCACCTTGAAGAGACCCGTGTACACACAAATCTTGCCGCCGGGAAGACAAAACGCATTGGGCTCGGGCGACTCGATCACGACAAAGTCCCACTTGAAGTCGGTTCGGTTCGACGCGGCCGCGATGCGCTGGCCCACGGCGCGCACCATCTTGGCCCGCTATAGAGCAAGGCGGTGACGCATCCGGTGCGATCGCCTGGACGAATGTGTACCGGGTCGCTTGGCGGCACAATCGCATCCCGGTTGTCGCGAAGGATCTCGCGAAAGCTCATCTCGCCCAAGCGCCGCTCGGACTCTACACCAGCCAAAGGATAGTGAGCGTATGCGAGAGCTTGTGGCGCCGTACGCGGTGTCATGAGCATCAGGCGCCGGCGGCCCGTCTCGGGTACTGTCTCCACGTGCGAGTAGATGTAGCCTAGTACGGGCGCCGATGACGAGGATGCTACGGGCTGAGAGGATAGACGCACCGCCAAAGGCTGCGGTCGCAAGCGCGCCGGCAATGGCGCTTGCGCGGACGTACAGAGGCACCGACGACATCGTGGCAACAAAAATCACGCCGCATTCGGCACATGGGCGGATTCGGCATCATGTGCCGAATCTAAACGCACGCACCCTAACGCCAGATTCCAGGTGTGGGCCTTGGCTTTTGGTATCACGCAGAGACGATGAATCAATTGAGTTTGTAGTTAAATCCATGACCCTCTTTCTAATCGAATTGACGGGCCATAATGCCAAAGCGATAGCTGCCGTCGTAGGTGCTGGGATGACACGCCGGCTCGGTGGCGGCGACGGTGCAGTATGGTGTCCCACTCATGTAGACGTTGGTCGACGGACCAAACGCTGTGGGCGACCACGCCGCTACGCCCGTGTTTTCCAGGAACAAGTCCAGCATCCATCCTAAATTGGCCTGGTTCACATCGTCGGGAACGCTTTCCAGATGTGGGTTCTGCGCCAGATTCAGTGTTGTGAGACTGCTCAGCGCCCCTAGCGTGTATGCTGGCAGCTCCGAGATGTTGTTGCCAAAGAGAGAGAGACCACCGAGGAGCGTGAGCTCACGAAAGGATGCGGGCACGCTGCGCAATTGGCCTTGCTCGATCAAGAGCGAGTTGAGGTTGGTCCATGCGGCGACGGTTGCTTCGTCAATCTCGGAAATCCCCGAAACAATAATCTCGACATCGGTCAGCGTCGGCGGCAAGTGCTTGTGAACGATGGCCCGGGGCACGGTCGACACGTTGGTGTACACGAGCACGATATAACTGAGCGCTGTAAAGACATCGGCCATAATGGGATCGGGCCACTCGACGATGGTCGAGTTGTAGATTTCGAGACCAAAGAGTTGTGGGAACCGCGCTAAATTCGGCACCTCAAGGTCCGGGCAATGCGCGATGATCAGTAGCTGTAGCGTGCTTGGGTGCAAGGCACGCAACGCCGCTGGCACTGCGGCCTGGGAAATACCCCGTGCTGCACAGCTAACGACTTGAACGACGCAACGGCACTCGAGCGTGAACCACGGGTTCACGGCGGTGAGGCACCCATGGGTGCACGACGCGCGGAGTCCATTCCAAGACGAGTAGATGAGCGACATGGCAACGACGGTTGCACCCCACGTGACGCTTACGACACGACTGACGGCGATTGAATAGCGCCAGACGGCCACGCCATGAAACCTGGTTCGTTTTCGGTGGGGCGTGGGAGGGCGACTGGGGGGTGCGACGTCTCGAAGTCGGCTGTCGTAGGCCATGCACAGCGTATACTCGACGTCGCGAAGGCTCCACCAGACGCAAAGGCACGGCAAGAGCCGTGTGATCGTCTCGGCCCCCGAGATGAGAAACAATTTTCGACCCATGAGGATCGCATTGTAGAACCACACATCGTCGTACAGCGCATCGTTCTTGTCTTGGATCGAGAGGGAAAAGTACCGCACGTAGGGACTGACACCAATCCACGGCAAGAGACAGACAAGGATCATGGTCAGTAGCGCTGGCACGAGCGCCGCTGCCGTGTGCTCGACAACGCGCGGTAGCTTGGCGAGAAAGAGCAATGGCGTGAGCATCCCGCTGAGGCCAATGCACATCGCGTACGCCAGTGTCAGCGCCGACGACGTCGACTGTTTCGAGATCGCAACAACTTCCAACGACTGCAACGCCAGTGACAAGGTGCGCTGGACTTCGTAGCCCCACGCAAAGAGCTCGCCTTGGCTGCTAAAGTGGGCCGCGTACGTTGTCCAGAGCTCGCCGAGGCGGCGAAAGCAAAGGCTCATCGAGAGAGCGCCAGTGTCTGCCCGGCGCTTGCTCGAGTCGCGCACCAGCACGAGGCGCTCAATGCGCTTCTCGAGTTGCCGGTAACGCACCATGGACACGAGGCCTTCGCAAAAGAGCGCGCCGACGAGGATGCAGGCGACCATCGAGGCCGTGAGGTCGGGCGGGAGGCCCAGCGTCCGCCGCTCGTAGCTGTACAGGTCCGACGTGATGTAGTGGTGGCAGTACGCGAGGAAAAAGAGGTGCGCCGCAAACAGTGCGTGCAGCAACGCGACAAGAAGCCACAGCGAGAAAAACGCTCGCGCGGGCAATCGGTGCTCGGTCGCCCGCCACGTCTTGACCTTCTCAAAGCGCACCGAGAAGACTCGTGCGACGAGTGGCCGCATCGTGCGTAGCGGTTGCATCACTTGGATAAGGCGATGGTCTCGGACTTGAAGCCTGTCTAAAATGACGGGCAGTCTAAATTCAATCGAGCGTTTCACAGCCGAATGGCTGGTCTCATGTGTGGTTGAGGTTATGGGCCATGCCGGTTGATACATCGATAGCTGCTCGGTCGTGGCTCTCGACGCTGCCGATGTTCGTGTCCCGAAACTTCCGTGTACGAAAGACACTTTGTGTACACACGACAAAACATTAGACATGTTGACCGCAAAAAGTGTCGCTATCTACTACTAGTAGTAGAAGTACTTTACAACACCAGCATGACGATTGACGCGACGACCATTGGGACGAGGCCCGTCAGCGCGGCACCCGCCGCGGCCGACTTGGCGGTCGCGGCTGGCGTCGTGGTCGCAATAGTCGGTTTTGAGGGGTAGTGGTCGTGTTGTCCGTCTTGTTGGCCGGCGTGGCTTTGGGCGCGGGCGTCACGGTCGCTAGCTGCGACGGTGCCTTGGTCACCACTGTCGACGCGCCCGAGACCGTGAGGTTGGCGTAGCACGGCTTCATGGTGCCGTTGGCGTAGAAGAGGCCAAAGTGCTGCTCGACGTTGTTGGTGTCCGTCTCGTTCGCATTGAACGCCATGTCGAACGACGTATAATAGTAGTAGTTCCAGTCCATTTGCTTGGCCAAGAGCGAAAAGTCGTTGAAGTATTTCTAGTCACCCATCTCAGACCAGATTGTAGATGTAGTGAGTGCGTACCGCAGCTTGCGCTGGCGTCGCCGGGCTCGCTTTTTCGGCGGCGCCACCGGTGGCCCAGCCCGTCTCGGAGATGAGAATCTTCTTCTTGTACTTGATAGCGGACGCGATCACGGGCTCCATGCGCTTGTAAAACCACGCAGCCGAATCGCTGGCGTTTTTCTTTTCCCAGAACGGATACTGATTGGCCGACACCACGTCCACCTACACAAGGTCGGGTGAGATCTCCATCACAATCTTCGAGGGATGGTGTCGCACCGCTTCGACCATTGACGGGTTGGCCGCCCACGTATCCGCATAATCGGCGATCGTCACCGGCACGTTGATCTTGGCCGTCGCGAGCTCGTCCTTGACCTCCTTCATGTTGGCGATCGCCTAAATCATGGGTGAGCGGTGGTGTCAAAATATATGTACGATCTTACAATCTCGGGCGTCACGTCGTTGCGGGATACAGCGGCCGACCCAACGTGGATACCGACGACAGTACTGTCAACAAGGCCACCCTCAATGAGCTCGGTGAGCTTGACTTTTTCCGCATCAAAGATCGACGGGAGGGGGCCGACCCAGAGCCCGAGCCAGACCGTGAGACCCGCCTTCTTGGCCGCGCCAATGACAAGCTCGCCCGCGTTGCAGTCGGTGAGCGAGTAGATGCGCACGCCCTTGGTGACCTTGGCCAAAATCGCAAAATCCTTGTCGATTTGGGCCGACGACTTGCAGTTGGTGGCGTCGGGGCCCCAGTTGGGCCCAATGCGCGGGTTGTAGTTGATACCGGGCACCGAGATGGTCGCGTTGGCGACGGCGAGCGAGGTCGCGACGAGGACTGCTGCTGTCTTCATGGCCAATTGTGGAATGGATGGTCTCACACGACGTCTTGTACCATTCGTGCACGCTTGCTTGAATAATTACGGGTATTGAAGCGCTTAGTTGTTTCAGCCAACGTGTGTGTTCGATTCGTATTTGATTGGGTAACAGATACGCAACTTCGCGCTGATTGGTTGGAGCGGCGGTTTCACAAATTGCATTTGGCGCAGGATTCGTTGTCGCAGGGTTGTGATGTGGCTTCTTCCAACGGACCTGTGATGCACGACGGTGTTGGTGCATAGTGATATCACGCTATCTGAGACTCGTGGAAGTACGTTTTAGGCGGTGCGGATTGGTCCAACAGCAGCATTGCTCGGTAGTATGTTCGCAAAAACTAGTTTGAATTTCTTTTACGACAGAGAATCTTGCAGGGACAATTCGTGCAAATGGTCGTCCACGGCTGCATCGACCACCCATGCTGCGACCAGCGTTGACCAATCATGGGCCCCAAGGAGCGCGTGGGAAATGGATTGTTGCTTGGTGTGTGCAAGCCCGTCGCGCAGGCGGCTCCTAGCTACGACGGCGTATGGACATGAATAGTAGGAATTCGTCGCAGAAGAATGCGTCTTAGTGAGCCATCAAGGCTGAGGCTGATTGCTCAGGAAAGCACTTCGGCTCTCGCCGTTCTAATGACGAAATGACATCACCCAGATCTCATTTCTTCGTACTAGTAAGGGTATGCGTGACAGCCCTTTTGACATGTTTGCTCTTGCAGCGATCCACACGACAGCAAACAACCCAGAGAGCCGCAACCATCAAGTCGTGATGGGACCGCAGCTGTCCAGGCGCACACTACCAATCTACTACGTAGTATTGAACAACGAAACGGTCGACCACACCTCCCTCCCTCATTCTTTCATACAGGATGTTTATATATATTATCCCTCTGTATCAACTCGATACTGAGGGCCGTGGGTCTCGATCGTTGGTTGAAAGCGTCGCCATTCTCATTTTCACCGACCTACCAGCGTTTAACCTTGTTTGATCTATCCCCGGCTTCCTTGGTTCATACAGTAAAAAGATACACTCCATTCATTTCTGTCAGCTACACTCGCTGATGGATGATTACATGGCCATCATAATAACGGATGCGATCGCCATCGTCACGAGGCTTGTGAGAGCGGCGCCCGTTGCCGCCGACTTGGTACTCGACTTGCCAGAGCCCGTCGAGTTGGAGCCTGCGCTCGGCGACGCGTTGGCACCGGGCGACGACGTTGCGCCGGTAGGCTTGGTCGAGTTGTTTGTCTTGGGGCCCATGCCGTCGTTGTTGTTCTTGGGGATTGTGTTGGGCACCGGCGTCATGGTGACGTTGGAGAGCTGCGACGGCGCCTTGGTCACGACGGTCGTCGCGCCCGAGACCGTGAGCTCGGCGTAGCACGGCTTCATGGTGCCGTTGGCGTAGAAGAGGCCAAAGTGCTCCTCGACGTTGTCAGTGATCGACGCGTTTGCGTTGAACGCCATGTCGAACGACGAAAAGTAGTAGTAGTCCCAGTCCATTTGCTTGGCCAGAATCGAAAAGTCGTTAAAGTATTTCTAGTCACCCATCTCAGACCAGATTGTAGATGTAGAGAGTGCGTACCGCGGCTTGCGCCGGCGTCGTCGGGCCCGTGTTGACCGCTGACCCACCGGTGGCCCAGCCCGTCTCGGAGATGAGAATCTTCTTCTTGTACTTGGTCGCCGACGCGATCAGGGGCTCCATGCGCATGTAAAACCACGCCGCCGCGTCGTTGGCGTTCTTGTTTTCCCAAAACGGAAACTGGTTGGCCGACACCACGTCCACCTACACCAGGTTGGACTAAGATCGCCATCACAATCGTAGGTGTCGCACCGCTTCGACCATTGACGGGTTTGCAATCCACGTATCGCCAATGTCGGCAATCGTCACCGGCAAGTTGATCTTGGCCGTCGTAAGAACCGCCTTGATTTCCTTAAAGTTGGAGATCGCCTGTACCATATCATATAAGCTTCGGCGCCATACGATGCAATTTCTACCTTCTCGGGCGTCACATCCTTCCGGTACACAGCCTCCGACCCGACGTGGACACCAACGACTGTGCTGTCAACAAGACCGCTCGAGATAAGCGACGATAGCTTGGCCTTCTCGGCGGCAAAGATCGTCGGCTCGGGGCCGACCCAGAGCCCGAGCCAGACCGTGAGACCCGCCTTCTTGGCCGCGCCAATGACAAGCTCGCCCGCGTTGCAGTCGGTGAGTGAGTAGATGCGCACGCCCTTGGTGATTTTGGCCAAAATCGCAAAATCCTTGTCGATTTGGGCCGACGACTTGCAGTTGGTGGCGTCGGGGCCCCAGTTGGGCCCAACGCGCGGGTTGTAGTTGATGCCGGGCACCGAGATGGTCGCGTTGGCGACGGCGAGCGAGGTCGCGACGAGGACGGCTGCGGCTTTCATTGCCCGTTGTAGAATGGAGAGCGTCTGCCCGTTCAGACAGCGCGTGTGTCACACATACGTTTGATTCGCGTTTGATTGGGTGACGGAAAAGGCAATCTCGCGATGATTGGCTGGAATTTGAAAGGCAGTTTCAAGTTGGCGTCAGAGGCGCGTTGTCAAGCGGGAGATGCAGCGCGCGTCACGCAGAATGAAGTCGTGTAATGCATTTGACTCGCTGTGGAGGAGAGAAATTCACTACCACCGGTATAAGGACAGCCCACACAATACAAAGTTTCATACAAGAGGCACGTATCGCCAGAGGGTATGGCAAAGCAACTCGACCGACTCGACGGCTGCTACTCACGCGCACAGCCTATGCGTACCACCACCGCTGTAGAGTTGGCTCACGGCTCGATTATAGCCTGCGTGCTAGAAGGAAAGCCTAGACGCATTGGACTAGACGTTTGCCAGCACCATCAACTCTATTCGGCACAGCAACCTTGGCTGCTGGCGGCGTCAGGGCCTCGCCTAGCGCCGAAACCTTAGAAGTAACAAAGGAGCGCGAGCTGAACGAGGTCAAGCAAGAATGCACTTGTCTCTAGTGGAAGCGGTAGGAGCACGAGCCGGGCTGGACCCAACACAGCACCATCACACACAGCGACATCGCACTTGGCTCATTCATTTTACGACCCGCGGGGCTCCTAGTACCGGTCTGGCGGTCGGTCCAATCGCACCTTGACGTCAAGGTGCTTGATTTGATCGGCCTTGAGGCGCTGCTTGCGCTCATATGCGGCGACATCCAATTTGCCCTTGGTGTACGCGCCGGCCTCCATGCTACAACACAATTCTTCGATCAGACCGATGATGGGCCAAGGACATGAATGTACCCGAGCGGAAGCGTGTCGACCGTATTCAGCGACGTTTCGTACAGTGCATCGTCGCCGAAAGGGTAGTAGTCGTACTCATTCCGACGCACTTGGTGCGCAAACTCGGACGTCTTTGGGAGGTAAATCATATCGTGCCGCTCTTCCATGCGTGGCGGCTCACGGTTTTCAGCGCTCTTGGCTTCTGGCGCTTGGAGTTGCTGGATGAGCGCGGCCTTGACGCGGTACGAGCCCGCTTCGGCGCCCAGCGGCAGCGTGTCGTCCGCGTTGTCGACACACGTCAAGTACGCCTCCTCTTCTTCGGGGTACGGCGCATGGAAGCGCGGCGCGGGGCTCGGGGCCCAAGGCCGCCGGCTGATAGGCCGGGGCGGCCGGCAGCGGCAAGAACCCAGCTTCGGGCGCACTCGGCCGACACATGGGCTCGGGTGCGCGTGGAGCGTCAACGGAACGCGGCGGTTCTTGTGGCGCGGGTCGCTGGTGCATCGGTTCGGGAGCTCGGTGCCTCGGTTCAGGGGCGCGTCGTGGCGGGTCCTGTGGCATCGTCGGGACGCGCGATGCTCCGAGCTGGTTGATGAGAGCTGCTTTCTTGGCGGCTCGCATCTCTGGCGTCTGGTGTGGCTTGGAGCGTGGCGCTCTCGGCGCATCTTTCGGCAGCTCGATTGGTGCATTGAACTTGGATGGCTTCTTCACGCTCGATTGCTCCCGCGGCAGCTCGATATGTGCGTCAAAGACCGAGTGTTTTACGGGCGACGCATGCGGCGACGACGACGATCGCGATGGCGGGGTTACATGCTGCGAGGCATGGGACGACCGGGACGGCCGCGTCTCAGGCTTGGGTGGCGGCTTGACAGCAACAGGTGGAGGACGAGGCGCAATCGGTTCGATCGGCGCCGGGGCCGTCGTCGTTGGGGACACGCTCAGGCCATAGTTGATATCATCTTGTGCGACCGGGTCCACGTTGAAGCGAAAGCTGACGGGAGCGGGCTGCGGGTTCGCGGGCGGCAGCTCGCGTTTTCCAGCAGGTGGCGCTCGGTGTGCTGGCACAGGCTTGGCAGCCATAGGTGGTGGTCTATTGACCGGTGGCTGCTTGTACGCCGAGTGCATCGGGTCCAATGCGAGCGACTCGGACGGTGACGTGGCTTCCGTCTCCCGCTGCAGGTGGTGGAAGCGCGACGGATGTATGTCTTTTCGCGGGCGTGGCGCCTCCACAACGTCCATCGGGTCGACAAAGTCTTCAAATTGTGGCGCCTTGGCGCGGCGGTTGCAGCACTTGCGCAAGACGACGACGAGCCCGACGGCCACGACGAGCCCGACGCCGACGCCAATGAGCACAACCGTGACGAGGTGGCTATCACCGTCCTCGGCCAAGACGCCACGCGACGCTGCTGCGAGCAGAAGCGGCACAAGCACGCGTCGTCCCATGCGAAGGAATCGGATGAGAGAGTGGGCGCATCAGCATGACCCGCTAGAGACGGTTCTTTTCGACTCGCTAAACGGATGGGCCAATCACAGCCAAGTGCAAACTGGAAATATTATTGCATACAAACACCAAGTGACATCGGATGACCGATGTGATGGACGCTGAGCGTGGACAGGCGGCAACCCAGATCCGTCGCTACGGCGCGCGAAGCAACAGCCGTGGCAATCGACCGCGATCGCGCTGGTAGGGACTTCGATTCCGAGCTCACACGCTATTAACGTGCGACGAGGATGCGTCGAAAGCGCGTTCTTTATGGGTGTTGGTCGAGCGAGACATGTGGGGCTATCGCCGTTCGCCAAACACAAATGGCGGGTCGAGGGCAATGACGTCGTCGCGCAATATACTTCGTACGAGAGCAGCCTGAGCGCCACAATCATTTCATCACGTTAATACATCCGCCGGCCACGTATCTGGCCGGCGATGCGACTCGATAGCAATAGACGGCGCTAAGGACAATCGAGATTAATCAAAACAAGAATCGTCACTGAATAAGGATTACCGGGTAGTAATACCTGGAGTCGACAAGACACGCTCAGGGTGCAATGTCGGCCGCGGTTGTCCAAAAGGCCGCTTCATCGAAACTCGCTTGGATCTTTCCGAGTCGATCGCTACACTCGAGAATCGTGGGCTGGGCACGCGCGACCGCCATGGTCCGGAGTACAACCGAGGGCGCGGCGGGACTTATGGAGCAGGCAGCGGCGCGCAGGGCCTCGGTGTCAAAGTCAGCGACCAAAATGTTCCACGACCTGCAGTCGTCGGCGTGCTTTTGGTAGAGGCCTTCGGGGACCTTGCGTGCCATGCGTCATTGGGCAGTCCGTTGGTGTACACAACAAGGCCGCCAGGGTGGTGGAAAAAATGCTCCTTGGCGAACGTACATTGAGCACAGCTCGAGCGTCGCCGGGTCGTTGTTGTCGCACACAATGTAGACACGGCGCCGAGCAAGAGTGCGCGGGCGATGACCTCTGCAGTTTTCTCGTACAGAAGGCTGTGATGCCATTGGCTATCTCCATGGCTATCGTCGACGTGGATTGGCTGGTTTTCGAATTGGCTATTCGCACGCAACGTTTCGTGCGTGTCATCGGCATGACGTGGCGGCACGAGACGCGTTGGCGTCAATTCCTCCGCCACGACACGTACCGATGAGCATAGCTAAAGTCGCTCGAGATCGATGGCAGCAGAGTCGACACCGAGCAGCATCTTCGACACTACGCAACGGTCGAAAGTGCTAGGAACCATGTGGACGCGACGCCAGCTGGCTAGGACGTTTTCCACGAATTCGCGGTATGTACATCGTGCGATCTTGCCATTTTCGAAAGCAATACGCACAACCAACACGCTACCACATCTTTTGATGGCGAACCACGACGCAAAGGCTGCTGCGACGCGCCGCGCTCTGTGTCAATTCAAGGGCTGCACCAAATTCGCCCAGACCCGCGGGCGATGCAAAGGTAATCCTCTTGTGATCCTGCTCTCGACAGATTTAGACCAGCATGTCTGTAGCCCACGGCGGCGGCACACGCTGCAAGGTCGAGGCGTGCATCAAGCTCGCGCAGAGTCGTGGTCACTGCATCGCGCATGGCGGCGGCCGCAAGTGCCACATCGAGTCGTGCGATAAGCTCGCGCAGAGCAAAGGGTACTGCATCGCCCACGGCGGCGGTCGCAAGTGCGGTACGAAGTCTTCCGTAAACCGTCATGAGACGAGATGCGTGCAACTAGCGATTGACGGCTGCGAAAAGTTCTCACAAATCAAGGGCAAGTGCAAAGCCCATGCCAAGACGTCACCGCCGTCGACGCCCCACTCGCCGCCTTTGCTGCACCCGCTTCCACCGCTAACGCATGCCAAGGTGTCGGCGCTTCAGATGCCGTCCACCATCAGCCTCAGCCCGTTGCGTGACTGCGTGCGGCGACCTGAGGCAACCACTTGCTCGTTCGCAGCGCTCTTTGAGCCATCGCCGCCAACAGCGTGACCACCCACGACCCACGACGGCGGCATGCACGTGCATAGAATTATTCCCTTGGGTGCATTTGCAGAAAACAATTCGACTAATTTATTTCTTATTTTCAAAAGTGCTCGAGTACTAGGACGTCGGAAGCGTCGCAGCCATCTCGACACGATCCCGTCACCAAGCAAGGATGGTCCTTATGTGTCGACAGGAGCAAGTTGCACCACTCGATTGGTTTTCTGTACCGGCCTCCTCGGGCATACAGTGTACTGTCGGGGTGAGCTGTCAGGGTGCCGTTGTCATCTTCTTCCTCACTGCCTTCTCGTCCTCTCGATGGTCACAAGAGATGCATTTGGCTCGGATGTTTACAGCCATGGGCATGGCGCTCCATGCATTTATGCAGTGTCTTGGTTTAGAGGGATTAGGGTAGGAGGGTACATGAAGATGGTGCAATTTACGAACAAAGCGATGTACAGAGCGCGGCCGTAAACTCGCTCTTGGTCGGCGCCGTCACGTTGCGGCCGCTCGGGCACGTCACCCGCAGCGTGCCATTGTTGAACTTTTCGCCCAAGCACTCGCCACTCGTGGTGGCATCGCAGCTCCACCTGCAAATCGCATGTGAGCTTCCTCGGTTGATCCTTTGCAGTACTGAGAACGTACCAGGGCGCGGGAATGCAGTCGAGGTACTTGCACCACGGACACGCCGTCATTGCGTTCGTCTAACATTCCTCACTCATGTCCATGTCCAGTGCAAGGACACACACGTACGTTGCTTGCAAAGAGGGCGAGAAAGAGGATCGCAAAAAACGCCGTGAAGAGCAGGCCGCCATACCCGAGCAGTCGCTGCTTCTTCGTGCGCGTCCCCATGATGCGGTCTTGGCGACTCAGCGGCAGGCTCAGCATTCCAAAGCCGAGGCTCAGGCCGCTCTACACTATCAAGTTGATATTTTGCAACCGTGGACGCCAAATGCGTACAATGAAGCCCGAGAGATGGGCGAAGTTGTTGACGAACGGAAGCAACCCAATGCCAAGGTTCACAAGGGCGACGACCACCAAGTTGGTCTAACCCATCGTCTCTCGTGAGATGATCCAAGACAAGAAAGATTAAGGCTACCATGTGGCATACGCGGTTCGTGTACAGCTTCCAGTTGAGCATGAACTCGGCAAACGTAGCGCCAAAGAGGCCAAAGATCGCGCCGGACGCACCGACGCCAACGACATCGGGCACGAAAAACTAGCGTCGAAATGAGTCACGGCCGAGGAGGAGTTTGACGTACGCCCGAGACGATGGCGCCAATGATCCCGGTGGCAAAGTAGATGGTCGCGATGCGCCGGCGATCGAAGGTCGACTCGAGTTCCATGCCCAGCTGGTAGAGCGCGGCCATGTTGAAGAGAAGATGGACAACGCCAGCATGGAGGAACATGGCCGTGAAGAGGCGCCACCACGCGCCGTCTTTGATGAGATCCGTGCGCTGGGCGCCCTACGCGCCGCTGCATGAGCCATGCCGGATGCGTTGTCGATCGCAGTACCATCGACAGAAGCACTTGGGCGCTCGGGCCGATGAGCGGGTTCACCTTGAGGCTCTCGACGGTCCAGCCATTTTCCGCGCTAGGTGTACATGAGCGCGCATCGCTCGAGTGGCGGATCGTACATTTCAATGATGAAGATGAGCGTATTGACGCCAATCATGGACCACACAAACTTGAACTGCGGCAGGAGCTTGGGCTTCCCGGCAGGTGTCGTCGACGGCGTGGGCACGACGCCGTTGGCGTTCGCCGAGGCCGGCGGGCCTGCCATGTACAGCGCGTCGTTCTGGATCAAGATGCGCTCCTCGCGCTCGTCCTGGTCGTTGCGCGGCGACCGGCCCGGGCTCGGGCGCGTCGGCGGCGTCGGCGATGGCACCATCGTGGTTGTGTCCAGCGGCCGCCAAATATTCCGAGATCCAGCGACTTCTTTATATTTCGCATTGTGCAAGACCATACAAATATCAAGTGTTTTTCTTAAAAGTCGAAGATATATTGTATTGCACCTGGGACACGTTGGCCCGCTCTATTTGTGGCCATCTCGCCTGCGGCCGAAGCGACGCTCGGCGAGGCTCGATGGCCGGCCGTGGTCCACCCCATGACCGCGCTAGCATGGGCGCGCCGTCGGTACGGACCATCCTCGTGGGCGAGGACGCCATGCGCCCGCTCCTTTAGCGGCGGTCGACGGCTATGCCTGTGCATCGACCCATGCATGCATGCCATGGCCGAGCGCAGCGCGTGGAGCTGCAGACGTAGCCAGGGCGCACGATGACGACTACGCCATGCAAGCGCTCGTGTGCGTGCGACGAGATATACACTCTACATGGATGCTTCGGCCCTGCGGACTCAGGCTCGCAGGGGTCGTCATCTTGTTCAGACAGACCCGCTGCATGGGAGGAAAAGTTTGATTGACAAAGAGAGATGCGCGGGCATCGCAGACAACGACTGCAGGTCTATGCGGCACCGATGCACGATGTTGAGTATTGGAAGGGTGGCGACGGTGGTGGCCACCTCTGTCCATCGCAGCCACCTCTGTCCTTCTCAGGTGATGATGCTGGCGACGTTGGAAAGGCCGTGCCTGTGTTCGTTGATGATGGCAGTACAAAGCTACCCGAAGCCCGAGATTCACCCTCCAACCAAGCGGACGGAAAGAAGCTTTTAAGTAGCTCGTCTTCTCAGGTGGCGACGTCGACGCGTGGGGTCGGTGGCAGAGGACAAGGCAGGCTTCCTACCGAGCACGTGGCCGCCTATCAACTCCACGACGACGCGAGGGATGTATTATCTTGACTCGACGTGACTGGTGGGACACCCTCTTCCACCAGCTGCGAGGAATTCTGGAGCCCACGTCGGTCCTCCGCCTGTCAGCGTGCTTGTCCTGCATCTGATCCACGCAGAGGATCTGCGATCATCTCGGTGCGACTCGCACCAGCCACTGCTCGTCGACTTGCCGCCGCCTATACCAGCGCGACCGAGGACGTCGAGCGAGATGCCGACGCACGGTGGCAGCGTCGACGGCGACAAGCCCAACGCATTCCACCGCGCGTGGTTTCTATCGCACCGCACCTGCGATCCTGCAGTTCGTATGGACACGAGTGGCATCCAGAGTGGGACGTGCACCACCGACGCTTCGATTTGCACTTTACCTTTTCCTGCGCATGCCACAAGCAGCACCATGTCTTCGCCCACCTCGTCCTCCCGGTCGTCCCGGTCGTCGTCGTCCATGAGCGAGGCGACCCGCCGCTACTCGTTCGCGGACCAGACCGCGTCGTCCTCGCGCAAGACGACGGAAGCGCTCGTCTTCTCGTGGAGCCACTTTCTGTGCCCGTCTGCGGCCATCGCGCACGACCTGCAGTTTGCCAGCTACCACTCGAGCCGGCGCCTCGCGAGTCTGCACCGCGACTGCGCGCTCCTCGACCCAGTCATCGTCGCGACGCTGCTTGACGCCCGCCGCCTTGGATACCTCTACATCCTCGTCGAGTGCCCACTCGACGACTTTCAAACGACACTCGCTACCTTCTTCCCCAAGACAGCGGCGCTCATCCAGTGCGATGCAAGCCACATCCAGCTCGCATGCGCGCTCAAGCCCGCGAGTCTCACGTTCACATACGAGCATTTGCTCTACTCGATCTGTGCCAAGTCGGCGCGGCTCCAGCACGCGTCCATCTCGCTCACAGTCTTTGGCCCGGAAGAGCTGCGCCACGCGTGCCTCACGATCGCCCGCGCGCTCGCGACGGTCGTGCCCAAGGCCATCCGCACCGCCGGTGGCACGCCGAGCTTTGTTCAAGTCCACGACCGGCTTGGCATGGTGCGCCAGCACCTCGAGGGCATCGTTCGCCGGGACGCGCCGAGCCTGCGCCCGACCGCCCGCCCGCGCACCGTGTGCCTCTGAGCGCTGCACGTCGTCCTTGTCTCTGTCGTCGTTGCTCCGTGTTCGACTTACTCCATCATCCATTATTTAACGTTGTCCATTTCGTCTTCGAGTCGTTTGACGTCCAACTCGTTCTCGTTGAGAGGGAAATACTAGAGGCAAAGACAAGCCGACGCATGCAGAAGGGAACGACCAACGACGGCGCCAGCGACGATCGAAGCTATCAGTCCGTGTGCGCCAAATAAGTGGGCTTGGGTGATGGGCCGGCCCGTGTCTCTGGCCCTTCGTGTTTCCTTCATTGCAACGGATATATACAGGCATCCAAGGAGTTCCCCACTGGGTCCACAAGATTACATCACGCCAAGCAGTCGAGCGACTAATGCTCCTCATGTTGTACTAGTATTGTACAGTGTACGAAGCTGCGTTTGCAGGCGGCTTCCGTGGCCTCCGTGTCGCAGTGCAATACTCGATGCTTGACCGTGTCGTCCTTTCTCTTGATCCCCGTGCAGTGGAATTTACAGTGCAATTTGAATGCACTGGCTGCCATGCAACCTTCTGTGCCAACTTGCCGCTGCTACTGTCGTCACCCGTGGCGATACGGAGGTGGCTACTGCTCAGAGGTCCGTGGAGGAGGAGCCTCATCATCCTTGCGTGCGCTGCCCGTCGCATGCGGCATGCCGCGATGTTTTGAGGGAGTTGTCCTTGGCCAACGACACCACCATTAGGGCAGCAAGGCGGCAGAAGAAAGGCGCAGGGTCGTTGCAGCACTGCACTCATTCGTCTCGGTAATACTCCATCTACTACGTCTTCGCATCGCTCCAGTAGAGGCAACAGCAGCGACGACAGTGGAGAGCACCCAACAAAGCCAGCGCGCTACTGCCTACCGCCCACTGCCTCGTGGCTTCCTACTACAGTATCGAGTCGCGTGACTACCCAGGAGCATGCCAGTCGCGAATTGCCTCCGTCGTGTATGCAACGCACGTCCTCGTTGTACGCCGGGCCCGACGTCGTCGAAGCACTCGTGTTCTCGTGGTCACACTTTTGCAGTCCCATGAGCTGGCTGGGCACAACGACCGAGCACCGGTTTCCGTTCATGAGCATCGCACGGAGCGCGTGCAAGGCCGTGGATCGATGCGTCGCCGACGTGCTTGCCCACGCTTCGCGCCTCGGCCACGTTTTCTTGGCCGTCGAAGACACGCCGGACGCGTTCGTGATGGAGCTCAATGCTCATTTCCCACACACGTCGCGCCTCCTCGAGCGACATGCGCCGGCCATGGTCTTCAAGGCGCCACAGGCTTCGACCAACGACATGTACGACGCCATGCTGACGGAGATCGTCGCCCAAGCCCGGGCGGTGCGGACGCAGTGCACGGTGGCGCTCACTGTCTTTGGCCCTGACGCGCTGCGCGCAGCCTGCCACCGAATCGCCAAACGTCTCGCAACAGTCTTACCCAAAGCCATCTACACTATGGCAACGGCCACGTCTGTCTCGAGCATGGAGGCCCGGCTGCGGCAGGTCGATTCGCATCTGGATCGGATTGTCAGGCACGCGACACCGCTCGACCTCTCGATCGCAACCCCACTGGCGCCTGTCTGCGTCGACCTGTAACCTACCTAATGTTATTCACCTTGGACAAAACTTTAGCTACCCAAGCCTCTCTTTACGACCCGGCGTGGACCTAGCGCGCTGGTCCGTGGTTGGGATGGTGATGGTCCTTGGAGGATATGCCGAGTGATTGTCATTGTCGTACAATACCAATGTTTAATGTATACTAAATATTTGTATAGAAACATACGAGATTGAAAAAAGACGCGAGGAGATCGCCATGGCTCATTTTTGAACTTGCACTCGTCCATCAATACTAGTACCATGCTGGCGTCGTCCTCGGTCTTCAACCCACTCACGAGCTTTCCGCTCACGCCGAGGATGCCATTGACGTCGATCCATATTGAGACCGCGACGGTCTTTTCCTGGACCGGCTTTTTATGCCCGACTGCGTGGATCCATGCGCAAGGTCGGCCCCTCCATGCCTCGCTTTCGCGAGCGTTTGCCGAGCTTGACGCTGCGATTGTGAACGTGCTCCTCGATGCGCAGGCCTACGGCACGGTCTTCGTCCTCGCCGAAGACAACAGTGCGTACATCGAATACCTCTGCCGTACCTTCTTTCCTCGGTGCGCGGCGCTCTTCGAGTCGCCCGCCCTCCAGACGCGCATCCAGCTGCTCTGCGCCGCGACCGACCCCAACACGCAATGGTACAGCCAAATGCTGCATTCGATCTGCACCACGTCGCCCGCCCTCCGCGGCGCAAGCGTTGTCCTCACCTGCTACGGCCCCGATGCACTTCGCGCCGCGTGCATGGAAAACGCAAAGCACTTGGTCATTTTGCCAAAGACGATCCGCAGCAACGTCGTGCAGCCGACGCCGGCCCAGGTTTTCGAGCAGCTCTGCCGTGTGCGCACGCACCTCGCGGCGACCGTGACGCACCACTCGGCCATCGACGTCGTCGTATAGATTTGCGACGCGATTATTTAAGCCGCTGTATAACTCCATTCCAAAATTCATTCAATAGTGGTTGATCACCAGGACATACTACCTGTAGTTTGAATCGCCCTCGGTCAACGTGATTAAGTGTCAGGTAATATCAAGGACCAGCATGTGAGGTGCGGTCCGAGCTGGAGACCGAAGTGCTTCCTCCCGCCTCGAAGGTAGCGACAGCCTCGACGCTGCGTCGTGGGTAACACGAGACTCGAATTCCTCCATAAAATGATGTATTAGATGTAAAACTAGACTATCGTATGTCACAAAGTGACGAGGTCGCATAAGCACTCGATCAGATACAAGGTTCTCTTCACGTAGATCAGAGAATGTAGATAAGTGATTTGGTGTGATCATCATATCGAGTGCTGGCGCGTTGTGGCTACGACACGAGCGAGCGAGCTTTGGATCAGACTCAAAGGTTCTCTTCACGCGGTTCAGAGAATGTAGATAAGTGATTTGATGGATCCTCATCTCCAAAGCGGTGCTCGTGTCGTGGCCGCTTGCAGGGTCCTACTATGGCACTTCATGCAATCAAGCACGGGGTAAAAAAACGGTCAAGTCGACAAGGTAGGTCAAGCAAGAATATCGTTCCGAGTGTTAAACAACACACCATACCGTCGTCGACGCGCCGCCGCAACGACGCAGCGTCAAAGGCGTCCAGTCGTAGTCGAGTTAATTTACTCGTCCTTCTTGGCGGCGACGTGCTTCTTGTTGTACTTCTTGGCGAAACGCTGGTTGCGCAAGAACTTGGGGTCAAGCTATCAGAACGCAATAAGCTTTCCGCGCTACAGATTGAGGTGTGGACGTACGCCCTTCGTCGAGTGGTAGCGGTGCTTGTGCGGCTTGCGGATACCGTTCTTGTGGGCCTTGACGGTCTGGTTGCGGGCCGTGTGGTTCTTCTGCTTGACCATGGTGTAGTTTTTAGCGAATAGCAAATGAAGCAATTTCGGCTTGGCGGTGCACAGACCATTGCTCGTTTGAGCCAACCAATTTTGCATTTGCATTTTGACCAATCGGACGTCGGATTGTTTAAAAGACGTCCCATTTGCACGCTCCGTTTGTTTTTATAACCTCAGCATTGTATGGTATGGTGGGTCTTAGAGGATTAAAAGACACGTGTCTTTTTTTACCCCATTGTGGCCAGTGGTGCGGTTCCGGCATCCGGATACGACGTGCTAGGTACCTGTAGGCAGCTAAGCACACCCCATTCTGCGCGCCTACACGCTGCTGCATCGTGCTGGCGAGGACGCGACGGTCTACGCGACGGCCAAGACGGTTTTATCAGAAAGATCTAGTTATTGGATGGAAGAAACATGCTATCTGTGTGCCGGGCGACTCGATGATCTTGGAAGGACGCGACAAAAGTTGCGTGATTTTAGTCGATGCGTTGATGGGCATGGCGATCTTGGTGCAGGGGGGTCAAGCGACGCAGGAGGCGGCGGACCTTGGACACGGATGAGAGAGCACTACAACAACACACACGTGTATGCATGGTGCTACAAAGCACGTGCGTGTTTTGGTTTGTGTTGTATTGCAAAATTATGTAATTCGAAATAAGTTCTATTTGGTCTTCTGCTTCTTTGCAGCCGGCTTCTTGGTGGTCGATGATGGCTTCTTGCCGCCCTTGGCCGCCGGCGCCTTCTTCTTCGTCTTCTTGGCGGATGCATCCTCGTCCGAGTCGAGCTCGACGTTCCAGTCGTCGGCATCGGCGGCCTCGTCGTCGTCCTTGTCCCAGTCCTTCATCTTGGCACCCATCATAAAGTCGTCCTGGACAACCGACCACGTCGACGCCTCGGGCTTGGGCTCTTCCGTCGCTTGCTTCTTCGACGATTGCTTGAGCAAGCCAAGGAACGCATCCTTGTCCATCGACTTGATCTCCTTGGACTTGGTGTCGGTCGTGCCCGCCGACGCGTGTTGGTGCTTGGCGATCGCGTTGAAGAGCGCAACAACGCCCTTGGTCGCGATCGTCCGGAGGGCCTTGTCCTGGGCCATCGTGGCGACACTAGGGATGACCATGTCCTTCTCATCGCGGAGTCGCTTGGCCTTGGCGCTGATCTTGGACTCGGTGGTTTCTTTCTTGTCCTTGGAGATCTCACGCATCTGCGCCGTGATGCGCTTGGCCAGAATCGGCGCCTTCTCCGTGTCAACGTTCTGTCCAAGGACCTTGCTCATGGCGTCAGCAAAGCCCACCGCGCCTTCATCTTCATCCATGTCGTTTTCTTCCATGTCGTCGGCCTCGTCCTCGCTCTCGTGGTCGGCGTCGACCTCGTCGTCGGCCGAGCCGGTCTCCCCTTCGTCCTCCGAGCCGCTCTCGCCTTCGTCGGCTGAGGCGTCGCTGGCCGGCGCCGCTTCCTTCTTGGCCGGCGCGGCCAGCGTTACCTTGGCCGCAGCGGGCTTGTGCTTCGCCTTCATCGTCAACTTCATCGTCGCGTCGAGGATCCAAGATGAGTCCGCGGTGTTTCAAGCAGCAGCAAGCAGCCAATGGTTGGTTATAGCAGGAAAACCTCCCAAAAGACATACATCGAAACGGCCAAGTCAAGTCACGTAAATAGTGTTCCATACAAGCAGGGGACGTGCGTGGCATCAGTGCCACGTAGACACCTTTCCGCGCCAACACCGATGACACGCAAGCGATCTGCTTACTCTTGGACCGTGTCGCGGAGCGTATTGCGCATCACGTCAATGATCGATCATCTTGTCTGTGGATCAATGCGTTTTTGAATATAGTGTGACTATTATAGTATTCAAATACTGTGAGCAGATTGCAACCAGTTGATTGCTGGATCCCATCGGTGCCTCCACACACGGCCTGGTGCAGAGTCGTGCAGCTATGCAACTTCAGTTTGTACGAGATGGCGAGACTTTGGACGAGATGGGTTCTTCCATTGGTCCTTTGCAGCACGCGCCAGCTTGAAGGCATCGCTTGCGATAACCTCTAGAAACCGATATTGCCCTGTATGGCTTGAACGAAGGATTGAAAACGACTGGTGCGTGCTCAGTTTGCATTTTGAGTCGTAGCGGTCCCGAGGATGACAGAATTCGATGACATCGTTCCGCTGTAAAACTCTGGGAGTGCGCCTCAGGCGCGCGATGGCCGCTCGATCTTCTCTCTGAGGCACCATCGCTAGGATAGATAGAAACTCAGATATAGCAACGACCTCGTGGCCATCGAGAGCTATGGAGACCCCAGTGTTTGTGATCTGGGTGGTCAAGTCCTGTTGGTTTTCAACGGCGACTTGATTTTCTTCACCTCGGCGGCCAGACAACAACGTCAGCGTCATAGTACGCGAGAGCTAGGCTTCAAGCCGCTACTACCCCTCTCGTGTCTCCATCTGCTTCGACATGATCATCGTAACCACGTAACTAGCCTTTAATTCTTCGCCAGTAAGAAATAACACCCTCTTCGTCGACTTGCAAGCAACCGTCAAAGACAGCGCGGACACAGACGAGCCGACACTGCAGGAGGAGAGAGAGCCGACGAATATGCGATGGCGGGTGGGGCGGGTTAGTAGACGTGGGGTGCTTTACTGCCGTTCTCAGGTACCAGCATCATCGATCACCGAAAGACGGTCCGATACCAAACATGGTCCGACGCAGGCCTTCTACGCGTCGCGAGGCTTGCATAAAAGCTTCAACGGAGCCATCGACGCCTAGTCTCTACAGACGTCGAGATTGGCTCATGCGGTTGTGTCCACAGTGCAATTACCCTATATCAGTACAGAGCGGGCCACTACCAATCTCGACCACCGGCTTGCAGCGCGGAAGGATTGAAACTAATCAGGATAGAGACATAGTAGCTTGCACGTTCTTAGCATGCGTGTGGAAGAAGCTCGTCCACGGTCCGTCGTTGTGTGTAGCCGACGGCGAGAATTTTTACACTCACACCTCCGGGCCAGGATCGAAGAGGTGTGCTCAAAACACACGCTTTCTTCCACACGCGCGATTCAACGAGCAAGCAGGTCGTGCTATGGCGCGACTACAGAACCAGGTATGCCAAGGGTCCATAGACCCCTGAGGTTGCGAAACGTTAACATGAATCTCCTGCTTTATCATGTGAGAAATCCCACAGTCCCACCACCAACGAATCTCCGAGGCAATCCGGGCGTGGTACCCGCGGTGGACCTTGGCTCGGCTCGCCCAACGACACCACGCCGTCTATATGTACGCCTTGTTCAAGCTTTAAACGCGCTCTGAGGAGCTGCTACAGGGTCGTCCTGCGCCTTTCTTCGAGATTGGAAGTGTACTTTCTAAGGCAATTGTCGCCAGCTGGCTCCATGCAGTGAGAACATTCGTCCGTGTCTGCTGGTGTGTCATTCATTTCCAAACGCGTTGCCGATGGTCGAACTCACGCTGCACCCGGGCGGGCCGACGACCGACGAGCTCCACCTCGCGCGGACGGCCTTCAAGGAGCTCATCGCGGCCGTCGAGACTGACTCGCCCATGCACTACCCGCCCGAGGTCGCGACCTTGACCGCGACGACGACGCTCAAGGCTTCGCTGCACGACATCTGCGGCCACTTTCGTAAGGCGGCCACCACGGGCTTTGGCCTTGATACGACGCGCACCGAGCTGCTGCGAACGCTGCTGCCGCTCACCGAGCACTCGTTTGCGGGCAGCCGCTGGAGCCTCCTCCCGCTGCCGATCCCGCTTGTCCAGCGCCGCGACCTGCGGTACGTCGAGTACTTTGACACGTTCATCACGTCGCATGGACGCGTGGGCTTTGCCCGTGCCTTGCACTCGGTCGACGACGACGACTGCATGCCAGTGCGCGGCTGCCTCCGCGCCAAGGTGTTTGCCTCGGGTTATGTCTTTCGCGAATGCAGCGCATTGGCCGGCGCGTACACGGTGACGCTTGTGCTGAATGTCGACTTTGGCGGCCACCTCCCGACGTGGGCCATTAACGCAGGCTTGCAGGCGCGCGTCAAGCACATCTACACGCTGGAGGGCCTCTTGGCGAAGCGGTCGTCGGCGCGGCCCCCGCTGCGGCCATTGCAGCCGGCCGTTCCGGTTTTTCCTCAAGCCGCGCAATTGCAGCGCGTGCGGCGACGTCTTTTGCAAACGCTGCTGTGACGAGCGCACGTGCACCGACTGCCGCGTCGCTGTGTACTCGCCATCGTCGCTGCGGCCGTCGATGCTGGACGACACGATGTTTCGGTCGGCGGGCCGGAACCGCCTCGAGAGCTCGCGCAGTGCGTACAACTTGCGCGCCGAGGCCGAGCACCTTGGCGGCGCCGAGCCGAGCAGTGTCCCGGAAGGCCGCCTCAAGTCCAGCAGCGTCGTCGACTTGTCCTACTTGTCCGATTTTGCGACCGACGGGATTGACGTCTAGCGAGTGTGACAGATCAGTGTACTCTTCGTATTGTCAAAAGAATAATGTAGTCAAATGTGTCGTGTCCATGTGTGAACAACTTGTCTTTTGGTAGTTGTCGCAGTGGAAAGTGGTTTCCAACGAGAACGAGAGAGCGACGAGTGTCGGAAGACGTCGGGAGATTTTGAATGCAAGGCATCGACGCATGCTACCGAGCGACTGTAGTGCCTCACACTTGTAAAGACAGCAATAACCGCGTGGTAGGATGCTTGTCCAGTGGAGCTGCGTCGAGGGTCGGGATGACGACGTGCGCGGCCCATGGCATCACAGAGGATGGACCACCACGATAAGCAAAGCGCTTGTTGACGTATGTTGAGAACACCACGCTCGTCTCTACCACTGGATCCTCTTCTCTTAGCTACAGTACGATACCAAGACATGATGCGGCGTCAACGGGTAGCCAAAGGAATGGTATTGGGTTTCTCCAGGCACCAACAAAGTATGTGACCGCAGAGTTCGCGAGCGAGCCAGACCGTCATCCGTCAAACCCGCCATGCAGCTTGTACTGCAGTGACTGCAATATGTGATTGCAGTGGTAGGACGTTGTGGCTACCCGTGAGACGAGGCGGTCGACGAATCCAGTCTACACCGTCTCGCATGCATGGAGTCAACACGTGTCCCAGGCAACTGGCATCAGCAGACGCTATCAGCACACGCTATCAGCACACGCTATCAGCAAAAGCTATCAGGAGATCTAAATGTTTGCAGCGAGGAGTTGTCGATGGGACATGTACGATCGTTACGAAGAAGACTAGAAACGCACATATGTCCAAGTTGGTGGACAGCAAATGACTCCACTAACCTCGCAAAGGTCTCATCGTGGTCCTCCTGCTTTGATGTCATGTTCAATTTTGCTTCGAACGCCAACATGCACGGACGCCGCCTCGCCTACCTCGTCGCTACCATCGTTGCTTCGGCCTTGGGCCATGACGCGTGCGGCGAGATGCCCACGACGAACCCGCCGCCCGTCGGTCCTCCGTGTTTGTTTGCCAAGAACGCAGTGGTGACGCTCAAGGCGGACAACGATGACGCCTTGTCCGCCTGCAGTAACTGCGTCAAGGACTCCAAGGACTTTAGCGTATTCCTGACCAGTGTGAAGAGTAACACGTGGACCATCCAGCAGCTTGACGGAAACAATCTCATCTCGCTCCACGCCAACGGCTTCAACGGGATCGACAACAACGTGCTGGCGCCGAGCATGAACCGTGCGCCCGGTGTCGTCGAGCCCGACCAGGTCATGCTTCCCTTCACCGTGGAAGGCGCGTCGAGCGCGCATCAATGGACGTGCACACAAGTCAGCTACAACCAGATTATGCTCCGCAACGTCGCGAACGGCAAGTACCTCGCGCGCTGCGACGGCTGCGACAGCGACCAGATTCCGCCGGCCGATCTCTTCCAACCAGTCTTTACGCTCGCAAGTCCGCACGGCAACCACACCACCGCTCCAATGGTGTGGACGTACACGCTTGTATAAATGAATCACTACGATGGACTTGTGTTCACGTCGTTTTGTTGGTCGATATTGTCTTTTTCATCCCTCATGGAGGTTGCCATGCTATGAACATGTATGGGTGCTTAGCAGGTCGTCCTATGCAAGACAAGAACGAGTGGCGGTGCGCGGCCAGTAGTACCTTACCCGCCGTCGCATTTGCAAAGGCTAGCAAGCGACACAGCTCGACTTGCAGCAGAAAAGAGTATACTTTGACGTGTGGAAACGATCGATATTAGTTCCTACCCTGGTAGCGGGGTAGGGGTGTAGAGGCTGGAGCGCGAATCGAAAAAGACGGCAACGGGATCTAAGTGCTTTATGCTGACAAGGCTTCGTCTCGGCAATTTACGTACTCGACTATAAAGCGGTGTACCGTATTCGAGGTAGCTATGCGGCAAGGCAGTGCAGTGACGCTCCTCGCCTCTTTTGCTCCGAGTTTGTCGAGTCGTTCAAGCACTTGCTCGTCGAGTGTAGCTACATCAAGGACGTTCGGACAGTGCTTGGCACCATCTTCTGATGCGTCGTCCGCGAACCCTCGTCGGCTTTATCAGGGTCCATAACCTTGGTTTTCTTTACGACGAGGCTGCGGCCTCATGTTGACCATCGCGGTGCTCTGGCCTATTTTACGCATGTGTCTGGTACACGTACACACTTGGACTTGCACTCCTCTGTTAAGTGGTCCGAGTACAGGAGCCTGCGTACGAGCTATCACTCTGCGAGTGGGGTCCATTCCAGTGAGTGAGCTCAGGCCTTGAGCTCACTCACTCCCAACTTCCTCAAATCCAGGTTATTTGTCTGCATGTACTTGGTACTGTACGTGTATAAACAAGAACCTCATCATCAATACAAACGCCTGCGTGGCGCCGTTGCACTTGGGCGCCAAAAGCCCGTCATCAGCCGCGAAAAATCCAATTTCTGAGGTTCCTGCGCGTCTTGCACCAGACTATGCTCCGTCTCGTCGGTTCTTTCTCCGCTCAGCGTTTGAATCCAGCAAGCAAGCATTCATCAAGATACTAGAAAAAGAAATTTAAATCCACTCGAATCGTTGCATCCCATCGCAAGGTGCCATGGATTTATTGCGCGAGATCGTGTTGCCATGTTAGCCACTACAGTGTATCCGTGCACGGGCCGTCGATTCCACTGTTTTGTTTTGCTGATAGTACGGGCGCAGAAATTTCCCACCCAGGCGATCAGCGCAAAGTCGGAGTGGCGTGTGTGGCTGGGATGGCACCTGCTGTGAGACATCCCCCCGTTGCTACGCTGCATTCCGCCCCATTGCATATGGTAGATGACGTTTGCAGGACGATAGGAGGCAAATTGCGGGTTTCTTGAGAAATTCTCCGTAGTTTTAAGCACATTGCCGTAAATTCCGGAAATGCTCTCCCTTGCTATCAGCTTCAGCACGCCGGCTACGTCAACAGGTTGGGTAATAATCCCTTCCAGCAGAGAAGAGACGTGTATAAAAATGTATCGTTGGTTCTAGTAGGATTAGTATCGTGCGGCGTCAATCACCTGGTCGATGACGCTAAGGTAGTGCTTGACGTACGCGGGTCGGAAATGGTCGTCGTCGCGCATGATGGGTTCGCCGACGTTCGAGAGCACTTGGCACGTGTCCTTGTAGCACTGGTTGTCGGCAAAGTTGATGAGCGTCGCGTTCGCTGCCTTGGTCGCCGCCACGAGCAATTGGTTGAGGTACGCGATCTGCGGCATCGCTTCGTACGCAGCCCGCGAGACCGGGTCGACCTTGCCGACGCCGCTGCCGCTGAGCATGTTCTTCGGGTTGAACTCTTTCCCCTCCGGGTTGAGGCCCGCGACATACACCTGGATGCCGAGCTTTGTAAACGACGTGAGCTCGTCCGTGAGCGTCTTGATCATGGCCTCGACGTCGCCTTTGGACTGGTAGTCGCACGCATCCGCGTAGCTGCGCGTGCAGCAACGCGGCGATGCGCTCGCACTCGCCGAGCTGCTCCCAAAGCGCAGAAACTGCTTCCAATCGGACGCGTAGAGCACCGACTTGGGCTTGACCATCTTGATGGCGTCGACGGCCTTGGCGTGGTCGGCGTTGCAGCTCAGCGGCGGCATGCCGTTGGCCGTGTAAAACACCGCGGACGGGAACCGGTGTGGCGCGCTTGCATTCGCCGCGAGCGTGTTAAGGTGCGAGTACCGGATCTTGAGCATGTGGCCGTGCGAGTCGCCAACCACAAAGGTCGCAGTCGGCTTGTCCGGGTTGAGAACCGACGACTCGGGTGCCCAACCGTACGGCCCGCCCTGCGCCAGCCACGAGTAGCCGGGACCGTCTTCGTGCTCGTCGATGGCCGCGCGGATCTTGGCGGCCGTCGGCTGCTCAAACATCGGCGGCTTGCTCATGTTGGGCGGCTCGGTGTCGGTGGCGTTGACGATCGGGCCGCGCGACGGCGGCAACGGACCTGACGACTCGAGCGCGGAGAAGGCCGTCGGGTACAGCTGGATGCAGATGCCAAGCATGGCCATGACGACCATGAGCGCCGAGAGAAGCGGTACGAGCCACGCCGCCTTCCGACGACGTAAATGGTTCTCGACGCCGTACAAGGTGAAGACACTCAGCAGCAGCGACAAGATGACCATCGAGTACGGCATCGCATACCACGGGCGGAGCTCGGTCTGCGGCCAGTGCGCTTTCGCAAACACCAGCAGCGGCCAGTGCCAGAGGTACCACGCGTAGCTGAGCTGGCCGATCCACACCATCGGGTAGAGGCTCAGAAAGTACTTGTGCACAAACGTGTGGGGGCCGCTGGCAATGAGGAGGCCGGCACCGGCGGTCGGTAGCAGCGCCCAGAAACCCGGGAACGCGTCTTCTTCGTTGATAATGAAAAAACCAACGACGAGCGCTGCGAGACCGAGCAGCGCGAGCAGATGGCAGAGGCCGTGGTGGGCGACCATGACCTTGTTTTGGAGGTTGATGTACGAGAGAAGACCGCCGACCGCCATTTGCCAGAATCGCGAGAGCGGAAAGTAGAACGCGTAGTTGTTGGTGCCGCCGTAGCCAAGGAACGCGACGTTGCAGACAAAGCTCGCGACCAAGACCAACACTTGGGCAGCGATCGCCTTGCGGTAGCTGAGCTTCATGACGAGCGACGCGAAGAGCGGCCAGAAAATGTAGAATTGCTCTTCGACGCCGAGCGACCAGAGATGCAAGAGCGGGTTTTCCTTGATGCTCGCGTCAAAGTAGCCCATCTTGAGCGTGAGCACTTGAATGTTGGCGCCAAAGACGCAGCCGGCGGTCAACGTCGCGGCCATCGACTTTAGTGCCGGCGCGAGGTACCACGCGCAGCCAATGCTCACGGTCGCAATGAGCATGAGGAGCAGACCTGGAAAGATGCGCCGAATGCGCCGGGCGTAAAAGTCCGAGTACGTAAACTTGGACGCTTTGAACTGCTTGAACAGGATGCCGGAAATGAGAAAGCCGGAAATCACAAAAAAAATGTCGACACCGATAAAGCCGCCGGCAAACGCCGTCGGGTACGCGTGGAAGATGACGACGGGGACGACCGCGACCGTCCGGAGGCCGTCAATGTCGGCGCGGTACGAAAGCGAGTGGGCCGGCGGCGCGACTTCGTGCAGCACCTCCTCTTCGTTCGGCACATCGTCGTGGATGAGGACCGGGAAGCTATCGTGGCTGCCGTCCGTGAGCGCCGAGAACTCGTGCTGCGTGCGGCTCGGCGGCGTCGCGTCGAGGTGTGTCGAGGCCATCGCAAGTTGGAAACTGAGCTCGTTGATGGCGTGTTGCAAATGGCGCGTGAAAAGAAAGGCGACTGCGATCGGCAATGAGTCGTAGTTCAACGAATCGAGTGGTGGTGGACAGTCCATCTGCCACCGAGATTGCAGTTTAAGCTTGCAAATCGTGCGGTGGAATGGCAACGAACAAGCGTTGTTTGGGGTGGAATTACCCACATGGTCGCCCATAAATTTCTCTGCCAAATGGAGCACGACACTGCGAACCACCAACGAGAAAATGCAGCACTCGCTTCCGTGGTATTCCCATCGCGTCGATCGTAGCAACGTCGTAGCGTCCCAGATGCTAGAAATCCAATTCTTGGCACGACCAGACGCCGTCTCTGTCGCGCATGTATCCACTAAATTCGAGACGACGTACACGCCGAGTAGACAGCCGCAGGCGTCGTCCACAACCAAAGCCAGCGTATCCTGTGTCGTTCCTGTTCCACGCAGAAAGAAAAAAAGCCAACGACACCACGCACCGTCCCACGGTAGGATTATACCCATCCAAGGGCATCCGATGCCAGCAGTCGTGGGACCAAGGGTGGAACGACCCGCAACGGCTGTTTTAGGACAAAATAAGGGGGGAAAGTGCGTCAAAACCGTGAACCCTCCCAGATCAAAGTTAAAACAGGCATATTTGGGACCATTTGGATCCGCTCCAACTCTTTTTTCTTGCGTTGAAGAGCCATCCGCTCCGTCCCCGCAGGAATGTACCGCATGTATGTGGTGGCATTTCGTCTCAAGGAAGGTGGGGTGCTGCGAGGCATTGAGAGGAGGACTGTAGCGAATAGAAAACAGGCTGTAAGAGGGCAAACAAACGTCAAGAAACGGTGCTAGTGTATTCAAGAGTGTGTAAACCGTGAAAATGCCAACGTGTGCGGTACAAGAGTAAGACGGGTGGCATTCCAACGCTGACGCCGTCCACCCAAGTGAAGGAATGAAGTACGTACGAGGTCTGTTTGACCTTTTCCCGCTATATACAATGATGACAGGACCGCTGCTGTACGAGGAGCTCTCGTGTAATGGACTGGGTCCTACAGTAATCCGTCGTGTAGCTGCGAGGTTTTGTTTCAAACGTGCTAAAAGACCGACGACATGCCATTCGCACCAGACCAGCTCGTCGTGTTAGACACGCTGCCGGGCGTCGTTGGCTTGCCAAGCACTCAGACACAGCTCTCTGACTCTCTGACACGAATACCACCAGGCGATGCTGCAAGAAGCAACACAGTACCGCATACGACAGTATCATGATGACCGACGACGCATCCTGCTTGGAATCACGTGGCCTGTTGGCTTAGGGCGCCGTGCGGTGCAGCACCGACTTTTCAGCGAGCGCCTTGTGGCGCAAGGCCGTGTGTTGGGCTTGGATCGTATCGAACGTCTGCAGCAATGGCGCCAACGGCACGCGCGGCTCGCGTGGCGGCGTCGGCAGCTGCTCGGGCTTGGCAATCGCCATGGTCATCTGGGTCACGCTCGCGAGCCGGTCCCGGAGCGTCCGAAACGCCGAGCTCTACGGACGATGAGACATGTTGCGCAACACGCGAAGTATGCACCTGCGGCAAAAGCATGAGCAGCCCATACAAGCTCTTCATGAGGTTGGCGTGGTACGGTGCTTGGGTCTCGAGGAGCTGGAGGCGCAGCTGGATAAAGATCGGCGACTCGAGGAGCTGCACGAGCTTGTCGATCTGCATGAGAAAGCCGACGGACGCATCAATCTCGCTAAACTTGTAAATGAGCGCGTTCGAGAGCTCGTACGACTGCGCGAGGAGGCAGAGGCTGAACGTCGAGACGGGGTTGTGGCACCACGTCTTAAAGAGCGTCTACTCCCATCCTCTCATCACAGCGATCCAACGATATCATCATCGTCGCACCGTAAACACGTTCATGTCGTCCTGGGACGCCGCGACATCAAAACTGCGGCGCAGGATCGTGCGCAAGTGCTCCTACCACGGTAGTCCAACGTCAGGAGGGTTGCCCTCGTGGAAGAAAGGGCACACGAGTTCGTTGGCCGTGAGCAAAATCAAGTTGAGCGTGTGAACCATGAGCGACACAAACTCGAGGTCCTCGTACGTCGAGAGCACCGTCGCAATGACCATGTAGATGCTCTTGGCCTCCAGCAGCGTGCAGAGCTTGCGAATGATGAGGCTGCCGCGCTTCTCCTACCGTATCCACGTATCAACATGCCGCAATCCAAAACATGGGGAGCTACGAGAAGGCGGCTGTCGGTCGCAAAGAGCTGAATGACGGCTTGGAGCACCTTGGAGAACTCGAGGTGGCTCAGACTCGTGCTCAGGCGGGCGAGCACTTCGAGATCCAAGAGCACAACCGGGTCCGCGGCATCGCTACACATATGTATATATATCAATGTATCAAAACACGCACGTGGTGGTCGAGTCTACCTGAGCGTCTTGAGCAGCGTTGGCAGTAGCGAGTGAATATGCGTCGTGAGCTGGGTCGGCGTCTTTTCCAGTAGCATGGCAATCCAGCTCAGCGCCGCCATCCGCGTCGCAATGTGGTCGCTGAGCAGCTCGACATTGAGTTTCGACATGAGCGGCATAAAGTCCACGTTGCTCCTACAGATATGCCATTTTTGAGATTGAGTTCTCGCAATTGAGAATACTCGGTGGATTTGACAAGCGAGAGGAGGTCCGAGTTGGCACGCTCGCCGACGATGCGGATCTCAGTCTCAGCGTCCGAGATGCAGTGCAAGATCGCACCGAGAAGGTCGCCGTAGAAGCGTACGAGCCGCTCCTTCCCGAGCACGACAAACTCATGGACCCACGTGGCAGCCGTGAGGCGCGTAAAGCGCTCCTTGGACTGGCACTGCGCAACGAGGATGTGCACCATCGGGCCAAAGTCCACGAACGGCGTCGACTTGATCTCGCGGAGAAACTCGGTGAGCGCCGAGTCGGCGGCCTGTCGGATCTCGCGGTTGCCGTCGCTGAGCATGTTGAAGAGACCGTCGAGGAACTCGGGGAGCCAGTCGAGCATCTCAATGTCGGGCACCGAGTCGAGGACCGTGATCCAGCCCACCTACGAGTGCGTAATTCAAGCTCAACGAGGCTACATAGGACGCGAAGGCAGTACGAGGAGCTGGCGAATGTACGGGTTGGTCATGCGAATGTACTTGTGCAAGAGCGGGATGAAGAGCTCGACGTCAAAGACCTCGCTCTCGGTCACAATGTCCTTGACAAGCCGGTCGAGGAGGTTCGCACCGTTCTTGACGTCGACGTCGACGTCAGCAAAGAGCTTGCACAAGCTACATCGTATGTGAAGCTGCTGGACAATAGATGAAGGATATACGAGGTCGTACCCGTCAAAGATTTGGTTGAAGTACTTGAGAATGTCTTGGCGAGCGACCTTGGCGATGTTGTAGAGGCTCTCGCAGGCATAGTACCTAGAGACATGCATATGCCATCAACGTCAAAGGTCGTGGGATGTACCGGACACGGCTTTCGGGATCGTCAAAGCAATGCAGCACGGGCGGCATGAGCAGGTCCAGGTAGAGCTTGGCGTCGTGCATGAGACCGATGGCCGTGCCCGCAAGGCCGATGAGGCCACCCTTGCGGTAGTTGGCGTTCGTCGAGCACGTGAACTGGTGCTGGAGCAGGTCGATGATGAGCGGAATCGACTCCTTCGCCTGCGGCGACCCGCTCTCGGCCAGCTGCTTGACGAGGTTTTCGACCTCGAGGGCCGCGCCCTTGCGCTTGTCGTAGGACCGGTCGCCGAGGTTGCGCAGGAGGTTGGGCGAGAGCGGGACCTCGGCGCCGCTGGCCGAGGCCGTGAGCGACGACGAGGCTGCGACCGACAGGCCCGCGAGCGAGAGTTCCGACATGGCTGGGGCGAAAGTGGAAATGGAAAATTGAAATCTACGATCGTGCATGTATTTTAATGCAAACATTTTATTTGGCATACACGCATGCCATGATAATACAATACATA